TCAGCCTTTTCTGCACGAACTGGTTTCATTGTCAGCTTAAGGGATGCTTCATTAAAATCCAGTGTTGCTTGTGCGTCTGAAAGAAAATCTATTCCTAAGATTATATGTGCTTGCAGATTCTTTACTATAAAAAACATCACCTTTACCTTTGTTCGTCCTTGATACGGATTTATCTATATTACGGTAATTTAACTATGCACATACATCTTTCTCCTTGCGCAGCTAACACTGTCGTATTATCCGAATTATATATGCGATATTTACGAAAATACTTCCTAAAAAAATCTTCTGCCACACAGGAACACTGCGCGCCTGTATCCAGGAGTGCGGTGGCTGGGATATTATTCACCAACACTTCAAATCTTCGGAAGAGTCAAATTTTTTCACCATTACTGTATTTAACTTGAAGGAAAGAGGGGTTTTCGTGACCTTCGGATTTCCGCACCCTCCCGTCAGCAGAAATCCGTTTTAGTTTAAATCCTTTTTTGTTTCCATGCTTTCCTTCTTTTTTCCACTGGCCTTTTTTCCTGGGGTTGCTATTGAACTGTCGACGTTCGCCGGCTGTTTTTTGAATGCTCGGGTTTCCTTGCCCACTGATTCGCTTTGCTTCCGTAGCCGTGTGCTTGAGTTTGCTGTAGTCTTGGCGCACCAAATTGGTTTCGTTCGCTGTTGATATTGGCGTCTTCTTTCAACGTCCGCCGTTCTTCTACTTTCAAAAACTGGATTGCTAGCTCAAATAACTTTTCCATGTAGTCGGATTTCTTAATTCAATAAAGTCTTGCACTTGGGGCAGTAACCTCGTCAAAATCACTTGAATTATTTCAGGATCCGGACGGTTTCCATACAAGAGTTTGAAAACGTGAATTTTTCTTAAAATAAAGCTTGAGAGATTTTCGATTCTTTGTTGATATATACTGAAAAGTTCCGTTTCTAATTTCGCACTATCCCTTACAACAGGGAAGGCTTTTAGTAGAGCAGTCTTGAAATTCTCGTAAGTATAGGTGGGACTTCCTGCTTGACCCAAGAGACTTCTGCCTATACATTTGAACCAGTTAAGCGCTTGGCCCCTCAAAGCGCTGGTAGCTAAGGTAACTTTTTGAAATTCGTGCACGGGGTAGAGCATGAAGTGGTCATCCAATTTTTTCCAAAAAACTGGTTACCGGTGAGTTTCCATTAAATGTTGCTTCTGGTTTCATCGAAGCGCGAAGCGCGCATGGTCTGGACGATGTAACCAAATCCTTCCCGGCCAGGGCGGCAGCTGGCATTTCTGGATTCTGAGCCGTTTCTGCAGTTCTGCAGGCAGCACAGGTTCTTCTTGAAACTCGCCCATGGTTATTCTTCTTCGTTTGGGCGCCACTATCAGGTTCAATGTTCCTTCTCACCTTCTTCGGGAACATGCAAGGACCTGACTCGGAACAGAGAGCTTACTAAGCTATGCTATGTTCAAAACTGTGGGAAGTAAACAGGATACACAAGAAGGGTATACAAAACCCTTTATTTTTTCTATTTTATTATTACAAAACTTCCGTACTTCGGAATACACCGACGCGCTACTTGGGGTCTAACGTAAAAATATAAAAATAGAACTAAACTCTAATTTAACTTTAAAATAATAAACGTGGAAGATTGGCCTTATATTAACAGGAAGCGTATGTAGTACAGAGAACTGTGAACACTACAATACGTTTAAAATTTATCAAGAGGATTAAAACCTCTGGCCTGGAAGGCAAACAGCAACTGCGTAAAACTTCTAAGGTAAGCGGCCTGCTTCGACTCACTGCTTCCTCTCTCTCGCTTGGCAAAAAGCCACAACTTAAATACTTGGCGTTCGCCAGACAACTTTGCATAAAAACCTTCACGCTTATAATTCTGGCCGGAAGTAGAAATAAGAAGTGATAGTAAAGATTTAAAATAAAATAAACGTTAGTAAAACTTAAGATCCTTACAATGAGATCTTTGGAAGAAATATTATACCTAAACTCACTTCTTCCAACAAAACATATCGACAGCAATGAAGTTCTGCTACTGATACCATAGATAAATATTACATTCAGAAATAGCTGAATTTTACATTCAGAAATAGCTGAACAAAATCAAAAATAAGCAGTCTTAGCTTAGTACTGTGTACCTACTCAATTTATTTTATCTTGTATGTATATCCTTCACCTTACCTTAGTTCTGCTAGTAACCGTGTTTAGTTTCTTTGCTGTAATTGATTTTTAATTTACCTTCTCCATAATTTTTGGCTAATCATTTAAAAAGTGGGGTTCTGAAAGAGTCTCTTCCTCCTTTTCCTCCCTCACCGAAATTCTTGCGGGTTGAACTTACCTCTCAGCCAGTCCTGAATTTGCTAGCGGTCCAGTTGACAAAAAGCTCCGCACTCTATTCTTTAAGTGCCCGGCCAGCTCTGAAATCAGCCATTGGCTTATCTTCCCCTCCACCTACTTGCATTTTCTCCTAGTGCTATAAATGGCACCAGAAGCGTGACTACTCTAGCTGCTACAGAAAGAAAGAGCCTCTTCTCTCTTTTCACCGTCCAAAACCTTATACGAAGGACACATTTCCTGTATCATTCATTCCGTAAGGATCTCTGTAATTGCTTTGGGAAGTACAGCTTAGGCAGTACAGCGCCAGAATAACACTGCAGCATTGTAGTATTGCAATCAGTCCTTTCAGCTTAGACTTTTAAACATACTGCTAGGAAGCAGTTCTTCCTAGCTGGGAAGCAGTTCTTCCTAGCAGCGTTCACCACGCTGCTAGGAAGAACTCCCAGCCTCTTCACTTTTCTTCAACCTACAGAAATTTCATCATCTTACTTTTGCACGAAATTTTGCACTTTAACACTTTATTTCTAGCAGCGTCTCGTTTCATGCTAATTAAATAAAGTAGTTTAAAAATGCCGTTTAATTTTCTGCAGTCACTTCGACACAGGGTAAGCCTATCCAGCCTAGGTGCCTGAACAAGTCACTCTGCTCACCTGAGTCTGTAAGACTCAGTGGAAAGAGTAGAAAGTACATGAAAATTGTTTATCCGGCACGAAGTATTGAGCATCAAATTTCATTATGTCTTCGACAGCTCATAAAACCTACGCTAAATTTTAATTTGGATGTCCCAAAGTTACGATTCATGAAACAGGACCTCTATTTAAATCAACACTATCCCTGTTCATCAAGCAAGAAATGCATTATTTCAGCATGGTAATGTCGCCAACACTTACTTGCAATGCTATATAACATACTATACAGATATTTCGTCAGCAGTACAGGATCTTTGCATTCATTAATAAACTGCTTCGATTTAACGCATGTGATACCTAATATCCAAATGTACCTTCATTTTGGAACTACCTCATTTTGGCATACATCATACTACCTTCATTTTGGAATCATTTCTTTCCCATGACTTTGCAGTTCTCTCATGTTGATTTCAAACCGAAATTCTGCACATTCGTAATGTTCCTATTCAATTTCCGCCAAAATATTTTATGTGAAATGTGAACAAGATCTTAATACGAAATCCACTGCAGGCTAAAATTATTTTTACATGCAGTATGCTATTATTTTTACATGCAGTATTATTTTACGCTAATTTTTTTAAACTGTTGAACGAAAGGGAATTGATTTTTAGTGATTATGCAAAGCAATAATTTGTGATTATGCACAGCAATGCAACCTAAAAAATACATACGACACAAAACTGTGTTATGAAATAAATAAAATTGAAATAATATATGGTGAAAGAAATGTTAGAAAGAATTAATACCTCGGAGACAAGTGCAGAATTTTCTCATCTGTATAGAATGGAATCTTCCCAAACTCATACAAATGTAATATAGCGCGATTTCATATTCACAATTAAGTCATTAATTTTGCTGTTTGAGGGAATAATAAGTTCGATTTCTCCACTAGATGGTTTTCAAAGCATCGGGATTTTTAGGATAAGGATTTTGAGGTTCCTGCTTCCAAAAAATACCTAAGTCTCTACAAAAAATACGAATTAGTTTCCATCGATGTGAATAGAAGTTACTGCCCATAATATGGAAGTCGGATTCCTTTGTGCTCCTAGAAGCCTGAGGTATAATTTGATTTTACTTTGATAGGTTTAAGCAGACACGTATGCTTTGCTGAATACATGCAGGGGAGAACGCTTGTAAATATATACTTTCCATACCACCACTGCTGCACCACCATAACTTTCATATTCCCCCTGAGCTTTGGTGAGAAAATTTTGTGTTTCTGCGTCCTTTCACATGTAAACACGTTTAGAGTCAGATGTTATCACTGGACTCATTATTGAAGAAAACACATGTCCATTGTTGTAGACTTCCAACTTTGAAGTTGTGTCCGCCAGTTCAGCTGGGTTATCTTTCGTTGGGGGATCAGTGGCATGAAAACCATTGTCTTTTCTTGTTAAGGCTATTCAATACAGCGGCAGCGACAAAAAAGTTGAAATGGTGATTGAAAACTCTTAACGCAACTAAACGAAAATCAAGTTCTTGTTGCAACAAGCTTCTACAAATAGAAATATACCTTGAGATGTAATTACGTTTCTTCTGTGAGTTTGTTCTGGATTTTTAGCAAACTGTCAAAGAGGCTGGCTGTCTTAAAATATCGAGCCACCTTTCCAGGTTTGCAGCTTTTCCCCGTTTCTAAGCAGCCGAGAGATCAACACACTAAGATTATTCAAATGATCTTTCCAGGAAAAAAAAATATTTTCATACTATTTGGATAATGTCAAGCTATTATTTGCGTTACAGAAACGACTGATCAAACTGAATTCCATGATATTAACTAGAAATGTCTTATAGTCTTTCTAAGAAAGACAAATGCAAGCACAATTTGGGTACCAGTATCGATTATTTTCATTAGTTTACCTTTCTGTAAGTATGAGCATATGCTTTAAGTTTTTTGTATCAATTTTAGTGCTACAAACACGGTATTTTTTTCATTAAAAGAGAGCTTCAGAAAAACAACGAACACAGTTTCCACATTTATATTTACCTGCTACGCTGGTGCAAGCTGATCCAACACCTTGAAGTGCTCTTGCCATGAACAATGTCGTGTAAGTATTTCCTATAGCAAAAGCTGTGTGAGAAAATGCACATGTTAAGGAATTAATACTCTAAGGGCAAAATTTTAATCAATAATAAATTTAAAATAATTTTCATCGATTGTAACTTAGCAAACTTATATATTTTAGAGAAATGTTAATATCATCTAAAAAGTAAAATGCGATTGGTATTTGATTTTTATAAAACGCTTATTTGATTTATTTACTTCACATTTTATAAAATGATTCGGAAATTTTTCTCTTTTCTACACAAACATACATAGAGAAAATAGAAAACTTTCCGATGCCATCTTTTTATACAAATTTTTGTTTAAATCTAAATGAGTTTTTAGTTCTTCATCAGATAGAGAAAAGTTAGTGAATTTATCCTTAACTTACCGAATCAAAAATATGATAACAACAACTTCCGACAATCTTTGTCTGGAATGGCGGCTTGAATTTTCAGCATAGATACTTATTTGCATAATACATATTGTAAGGACTTTATTTTATTCTAACCAAATATTTTTAGTTTTACTTTCCTTTCCCTCTTGATTCCAGCTTCCTGCCGGAAGGTAAATTTTAAATGACGTAGTATGCTAATCTAAACGTGTTTTAGAAGCAGTATTTTAAGCTGCGTTTTAAGAGTTCGTGAGAGCAGTAGAGTAGTTAGTCCCGAGTTTTATGCTGCGTGTTTGAATCTAGTTCTCCAGTCGTGGTTAGACGCCTTTCAGTTTATACTGATATTTCTAGGCTCGGCTTTGCTGTGTGCATCAGATTTAGCGTTTAGTTAAGCTAAGGAGCCAGTCATTAGCCATCTTAATTTAATGTGCATTTTACATTTTTATTTTCTGTTAATTTAATTAGCTACAAGTGGTGGTGAATTGTGAGCACCAAGTGCGTGTATCTGTTTAATCTAGTTTAAATAAAAAGGCTATTTAAAACCTTCTTCTACAGTATTTATTCTTCAAAAACATAGCAAGTATTCGCTGCTTAGTCTTCTATGTAGAGTCCACGTTGTATGCTTCCAAAAAGAACACACTGACTCTATAACTGGCGCCCGAAACAGTTTAGAATAATGGAAAACTCCACAGTTGATCTGGCCCCATCCACTCAAGCCAACCCTATGGAAGGATTTGGCTACATTGTCGACACCATGAGAGCTTCAATGAGGCTGCAGTGCCTATTTGATGGTAAAGGTTCAGCAGGAGCATTCATGGACCAGCTGGATGACCATTTCATCTTGTACCCAGTGGGCGAAATCCAGAAAGTGGCAATTTCAAATTCAGTTCTTCGAGGACAAGCCTTGAGTTGGTATTAAAAGCATCAAACTTGCGAGGGTTTAGGATGGTTGTCACACATCTTGGCCCATGGAGGTTAATGCGTCGATGGTTTTGCAGATTTTTTTATTGTTGGCTTGGTGCTGAAGCCAGACGAACGACGGCAGCAAAAATTCAACTGCAAGAAAGAGTTTTCGGCGAAGGAAGAAACGAAGCCAAAGCAGTTTCAAATGCCCCGGGAAAAGTAAAATTCCTCTCAAATACATCTGATACCAGAAGTTCGAATTCGTTTAAACAATGTATCGGCAATCTCATTAATTGACACGGGAGCACAAAGTAGTTTTTTTTTTGGGGGGGGAAATCTTTTAGGCAGAATTTCCGACGCTATAGTTTATACAACACCGAAGGTACAGTGCTGATTGCAGCCCAAGGAATACCGTGCGCTTGTATTGGAAAAGTGCCATTATATGTGCAGGTAAAAGGTGAGCAACTAAAAGTTACTTTTTTTGTAGTTAAAAATTTGCAATCTTATGTTACATTAGGTATAGACTTCCTCAAGTCAGCGGAAGAAAGAATAAATTTTCAAGAGGCCACCATCACGCTGGACATAGCGAAGAACAAATCTAAGAAAATAAAGCCTCCAGCGCTGGAGTTGAATGACCTGAAAAAGGACGAAAAAGAGAAAATTCAAGAATTGGTAAGAAAGTTTTCAGGTCTTTCAGCGACCAACCAGGGCTGACTCATGTTGTAAACAATTCGGTCGACATAGGGGATAATTTAATCATGTAGGTCCTAAATGTACGATAAAGGGAAGGAAGCGATAATTGAACAGCACGTTAAAGAAATGTTAAAAAATAAAGTAATTGTGCCTTCTAGTAGTCCGCTCGCAAGCCCAGTCGTATTATGTCGAAACGAGAATAATTTACCCCCTATGGAAAGTAAAGCTTGGCGGTTTACTACAGATTATAGAAAATTAAAGAATATTACAATGTATCCAGTGTACTCGTTACCCCGATCGTACAGGAGATAATTAGATAAATAAATTCTACGAGATATATGACGACGCTAGATCTTACCTCTGGCTATTTTCAAATCAGTATGAAACCGGAGGATGTTAATAAGACAGCGTTTATCACTAAATGTAGCATTTATGTACTTTTACGTATGCCATTCGCTTTATTTGGTGCTCTCGCTACTTTTCACGGAGCAATGGGCATAATTCTTTGGCCAGTACTTGGAAAATTCACGTTCATCTATTTAGGTAATATAACTGTTACCAGTAATATGATAGACGAGCATATAAAACATTTGACAGAAGTCGTTACACTTTTACAAGATGCTGGTTTAAAAGTGAATCCTAACAAATGTAAATTAGCGGTGAAGGAATTCAAAATATTTAGGATAAAAACTTTCCGCCAAAAGTATCCACACCGAAGATTAAAAAATTATCTCCAATAAAAACAATCCTCCACCCAATACCGGGAAAAAAATTGCATCATTTCTCAGAATGTGCTGATATTATAGGTCCTTTATTAAAAATTTTGCACATATAGCTAAGCCCCTCTTAACAGTAAAACGGAGAAAAGCAAAATTTTGTTGGTGGGCGGAAGCCAATACTGCGTTTGAACAGTTAAAAGCAGCTTTAATTTCAGTACCAGTGCTAAAGGTTCCTGACCAGAAGATCAGCTTGAAGTATCTGCAGATTCATCCGATTTTGCCGTAGGACCCGTCTTATCTCAAGCAGCTCAGCCAAGTAAAACGTTGAATCCTACCCAGAGAAATTATACGGTTACCGTACGGGAAACACTGTCTTACTGGCTGCACAAAAATTCCGTGTATACTTCGGAAAGCAACCCGTAACGCTCTACAACGACCATTCTGCTATTCGCAGCCTTTACTGGGGTAAAAACGTGTCACCTCGATTGATAAGGTGGGCATTGAAGCTGCAGGAACGTAACTTAGTATTGAAACATTTATCTGGTAAAGAAAATGTCGTGGAGGCTCCTTCTCGCATTAAATTAGACGAATAGGGGAATCAAGTTAAATGCACAATGTTAACTTCAAAAATCTTAGACTCTCGAGATACTAATATCGCTGAACTAAAATCGGATCCGGAACTTAAATACATTTATGTGTACCTACGGGATCCAGATAATATTGAGCATACAGATTTAATGGCCATTTACGAAATTATTGATAACCTCTTATTTTTCTCAAACACTGCTAATGAAAATAATGTGCTTAGGACCATCATTCCAACGAGTTTGAGCCTTAGCGTCTTGCAGGAATTATATGATGGACCGATTTCCGATCATCTCGGTTTTAAGAAGACAGTTAAACATGTACGAAAGGCGGTATTCTTTCCAAAATTGTGAGAAATTGATAAAGAATATGTCAGGTCCAGCTATATCTGCCAAATAGTTAATGATGTTATATACCGGCCGGCCGTATACCTAAATAGCATTAATGCTACTTTCCCAAATGAATTGCTCGGGGTCGATCTCTTAGGGTCTTATCCGAAAAGCGATAAGAATAAACACCGTTATTTATTTGTAGATCATTTTAGCAGATGGGTAGAAATAATTCTCCTGAAAAAGACTTCCGCCAAAATAGTCGCAGATTCTCTTCTAAATAAATTTTATTTTAAAATATGGTGCACCATTAAAAGTAATATCAGATAACGGTCCCCAGTTCGTTAGTCAGATATGTCATGATCTATGCGCAGGGCACGGCATACCGCCACTTGAAGATGGTCCCTGGTCGACCACAATCTAATATTGCATAGAGACAATTGTAATATCGTTAAAATTATTCGCAGTTACGTGAAAAACTATCACAGACGTCGGGATGATTCGGTTGATCAGCTCGCCTTTGCATTACGCACTGTGATGCATGATACGACTAGTAAAGCCCCTGCAGAATTATTTCTAGGAAGGAAAATAATGACACCCGTCGATAGATAATTTTTCGTGCAAAAGCGTGCTCCGGAGTTTCAAATATCGGATATAAAAAAATAGGTCGATGAGGCCATTAAATCTTCCGACATGGCAAGAAGTAAGCAAAAAATTATACTATGATAAAAGGCGGAAGGAAGGGAATTTTAAAGCAGGAGAAAAGGTGTTGAAATTGAAACATGATGTATCCTGTGCTCACGATGCAAAAGTAGCAAAGTTATGCCCTAAATTTGAGGGGCCATTTATAATTAAAAGTATTCGAGAAACCCCAGTCATTCTTAAAAATGCAAATGGCGAAGAATCCAAAGCGAGTATCGATCAGATTAAAAAATACTACGATCGTTGTAAAATAACACTTCTGAAACATTTATTCCAGAGTTTCAATGGTGCCGACGGTAATAAAGCTCCGAGCCAAGAACAGCCAGCCGCAGCCCAGACTCAGCTATCAGATGTGGCTTCTAAGAGGAAAGCCAAAAGGATTCCAACCAAGCAGCATAAGAGACATAAGGCCAATGCAGGAAAAAAGAGAAAAAAAGGAGCAAGTCAAGGGGCCAGGTAAAGGAGCTAGTAAAAGACAAAAAGAGTAGAACAGTCTTCAAGGCCGGTCAGCAAACAACGCCCAAAGTTCCACCAGAGCTCGGCGGAAAAGAAGCCACAACGGTCAACGAAGCAACCAAGACGACCAGACTACTACTAGCAGTCAGCGGGAACAAATCAGCCACATCCGGGAAAAGACACAAGCGGATTCCCTGGCAAGTGGCAGAGGCTGGATGATGGGGAACAAACAGCCAAACGGACGGTACTCCACCACAGTCAACGGGCAACATGCCCCGAGGGGAGAAAAAGATCACTTCCAGAGGATACCTTCCCTAGGAAGTCAAGGAGGAAAAAGAAGCGTGCCAAGAAAAGGAAGTTCGAACCCGTGGCCTGAAGAACAACAAACCCCAGACGTCATCGGTAGCAGCGACAGCCACATACCTTACTTGGAACTAGTTCGTGAAGAAACGAATGACTGACTACGCCGGTTCGAAAAAAAAAAAAAAAAAAAAGAAAAAAAAAAAACTTTTGATTTCATTTTGAAGTATTCAGTACTGTAATGTCTAAAAATGCACAAAGTGCTTCTTAAGAGAATCTAAATTGTTTTGCCTCTAGCAAGGGTTTATTAGATGTAGCAAGAAGCTGAAAATTTTATTTTCTCTGGAACTTCTCTTTCGTACCAAGAATCATGCTATTTAGTTGAAAGACTGTTTTATGCAGTTTGTCGAGATAAAATGATTTATTTCCAGCAACTTTGTTTAATTTGGATGTAAGAAACTGTAAATTGTATATATATATATATGTGTGTGATAGAAACAAACTCAGAAGTAATGACCAGCAGGAATTTTGATGTCATAGAATGCTGAAACGACGATCCACAATGAATAAGAAATTTGGCAGTCAAGGTATATTTAATTAAACTTTTATTTCAGTAAACATGCTGTGGCCACAATCAAGTTGGCACATTAATTGTGCCTATTTCAAAAAGTTTACATTTTAGATAAATCTGCAGTAAGATAGAAGTAGCAGACAGACTTCAGTGCAGCTATGCCAAAGCGTAGAAAGCAAGTGCGTTTTAGGGTGAAATCTTAATGCAGAATGAGTTAGTTTTGGTTTTTCAGAGCGAGTTACTTACTGCGTTTTGATTGGATAGTTGATACTGCTATAAAATTACTATTAGCTGTTTGAGTTTTAGTTCCATTTACATCATCAGAATTATGTATTACATAGGTCATATGACATGGATTTGTCTCGAAATGACGCAGTGCAAAAGAAGGTTACTATTTTTAGAATTGAGAAGGGAAATTAACTTACGCTGCTACTAATCTGTTACATATTCTTTATTATTGTTATATATGTATCCCTCCTTCAAGGAGAAAAAGGGGTAGCGACAGAGAAGCTTTTTCAAAGGAAAAACGTTAAAGCACTAGCAAATGAAGAAAAACGTAAATTATAAGATTTTTATCAGCAATAATTAAATAAATAACTGTAAAGTATAAATTATAAATATCATTTTTTAAAAATAAATGTAATTTTTAGAGTCTTTTTAAATTTTCTGAGAATTTTAGTCCAAAAAGTCTTTTTATTTGAGAGTTCACACAATCATAGTTCTTTAGGGAAGGGCTCTTGTTATCACAAAATATTACAAATAAAACTTTTACATAATCATTACTCATAATTAAATGTAACACATATAAATATTTATGATACTAATTTCCGTATTGATGAATTACATTTTAACACCGTGAATACAATAGGAGTAACATTTTCAGAAATTATGGTTTCACCATTATTATCTTTCATTTGCAAATCCTGATTTTACCAAACCGGAAAGCCTCGCAGTACTTCTAAACAAACATTGCTATCAATAGGGCTAACCTCTTGAGCTAACCAGTGTGTTCTCTGCACTGGTAGCTCAGGGTGCCTAGGCAGTTACTTGAAAATGCCTCCGTTCATTGCATAAGGTAACTAACCTTTGTGAACTGCACTAATACATTCCATAATAATAAAATAATATTATATAAAAAATTACACTCACTCATAAAATGAGACCCATCAACATTACGTTATATGAAGAGGTCTAAAGGAACAACTGTACAGAGGTAATAACAGACCTCTGTTTTGGAACGAGTACTCCCTCAACATTCTCAACACACAGTCTCCCATAAATTTTAACATACATTTACCAAACTTTTGTATAACTTATCCGTATTAGTTTCACTTACTTTTATATTCGCATTTTATATTCTCCGAACAAGTACAAAAGTCTTAAAATTAATTCAAATATTTTTAAACAAATTCATAAATATGATTAATGACATTACAATTTAATAATCTTGCCTGAAATAGTTTTAATTCTTTGCTTATTTAAATCAAAAAGTTATTTAAACTTGGCCATAAAATTCTTAATTTTTCATTTTCATAAAACAAAAAAGAAATATTATTACACATTAAATTTTAAAATAACATTTAATTAATTATTTCATAGCAATGAAAAATTTCCCAAGTGTGCCAAGAAATGTAACCTCATAGTAGCACAAACGCAATGCACTTCATTAACAATAATAGTCATGTAAACAAGCCGTACCCTAGAGGAAATGATGTCATGGGAAAGAACTTTGATTAATGTATAAGGTATTTCTCCCGGCTTCTTGGCATGCCTTCGTGGTGTAGTGGTCTGCACGCTGGGAGCGTATTCCAGAGGTCCGTGGCTCGATTCCCGGCGAAGGCGTTGCTAATTTTTCATCTCTCCGGCCTCAAAATAACTTAATGTCTCTACAAATATATATTAGAATCAAATAAAAAATATTATTTTCTCAATTACTTGACTTATAATATCATTTTTATGATCTAATTATTTGTAAATCATTTGAAATTGTATATTAGCTGTCCTTTAATTTCAGTGGGAAAACTTTGCTAAAAATTCTCGGCTTAATGCGGAAATACACGGTAGTCTCTTTACTACAACTAAACAGCAAATCAGGCTGAGTTAATTTCGAAAGTTTGAGGTAAATAGACACATTCACTTACCTATAGAAGTGGTAAAAAGTATGAGAAATCCCAGAAACATGATGACACTGTAACCTACCCTGAAAAGAGAAAGAGAAATTAGTTCTGCTCACTGCTCTTCACATGAGCACTTCACATGAGCTCTTCACATGAGTTCTGGTTTCTAAAAATTTTCATTATTAAATACAGATTACACATCACTTTGTACTGCATATTATTACTAGATTCATATTTTGTAAGATTCACTCTAAGTTCCTTTTGTGGCTAGATCTTTACTTGAACTGTGAAGCGACTATTCGCTAAGTTCAACTGTATAACTAAGTACGCAGGGAAAGGGGAAAAAGACCCTTTTATTCAGCTCAAGAACAATGTGTACAGATAACACTCCTGATGCTTACAGGGCCTCGCTAATACTTTTGGCGGCAACTCAAAATAGAAAACGTAAAATTAAAACTAATCCTAAGTTGAATAATCAGCCTAAGCTACACAGCGATGTTTAAATGCGTAATTGGTGCTGTACCACTGACGTAGACTAGCCGGCAATTACTAATATGCAGGGCCGTAAAATAGCAAGCTTAAGTAGCAGAGAAACAATGTGGGCGAAAGGCAGAACATGCTCTGAACACGCTTTGCCTGAAGTAACTCAGACGCCAGCTTAAATAGCAGCTGTCTACCACATTTTGTATAATGCGCAAAACTAAAATATTATTCGTGCGAGAAAGCGTGAGATGAAAATAAGAGCTATAGCTTGAAAAGAAAAAGAAAAGAAATAAGAAAGATTGCTTCTAAAATAAAATTAACTGTTAAGAAAATTAAGATAACACCCCACAATTTAACCTGATCACGTACATCCTAATTTTGCTGTACAGGAAAGAAAAAATGTGGGTTCGATTTCTAACTATATACTATTTCTAGTCTCGTATTTCTTTAAATACAGCACGCAGATATAATGGTTACGAAATGTTTCGAATCTCCAGTTTACAGATTACATGTTTTCATGAATATGCTTTCGGTTCCGAAATTTATGGTTACTTTAATGCCATTTCCACTTTAATGCTTTTATACGAACTTTCAAATTTATAAAATTTTTTTGCCGTTCGTAGGAGTTAGTAGAATTTAAAGCCTGCTGTGATTCAGGAATTCCGAAGAAAGCTTGCAAGGTAATTAGTACTGCAAATAATATAGTCACTTTTGATGATGAAAGTATATAAGCATATGAGGTTTAGACACATGCTCTTGCATTACCAAAAGGCAAAAATTATTTAGTTTAACGATTAACATGTTTCAGGATCAAATTGCATCATTTAAAATAAATTATTTTTACTATTTAAAATGAAATATTTCCCTTTGTTTTCAGGGGATTTCAGTGGGACAGAATGCTCCTGAAAGAAATTACAATAGAAAAATCACCTGATCTAGACATACACTAAAATAAGAAGAGGCAGAGAGCGAATATCTTATTTTGCTATCGACACGTCGCAAAAGTTTGAAATGATGTCATATTGTTCCACAAATGTTTCTCAGTTTTTCAAACTACACAGCTAAAAAAGGGGTGATCACCCTGGTTTTGCAATATGATGTGCACAGCGTAAAGTTTTTATATTTAGGAAGCAATTATTTTATTATTTTCGCCTTTACGTTATAAGATATTTCTCCCACCGTCTTAGCAGGCCTTCGTGGTGTAGTGGTTCTGCACGCTGGACCGTTATTCCAGAGGTCCGTAGTTCGATTCCTGGCGAAGACGGCTGCATATTTTTCATCTTGCCTGCTTCTAAAAATATCAAAAATGTCTCTACAACGTCTTTTCTACTTTCTCTGGCTCCCATCAGCATGCGAATTAGTTAATGTGTATAGGAACAGACTTGTTGGGTTTAAAAGAGAACTTTTGGCAACCCGTTGCGATGCTATGTCTTCCCAAGTTATAAATTGACTTCGGCTGTAGCCTTGCTGACCGTATTTTCTGATAAAAAGAAACTAAAAGAGAAAGAATAATTTAAAAGTTTTAAGCTTTCTTCTGTGTTCGGTGAAAAATCAAGACAAAGTAAAAATTCGACTGATTATCCTCACCGTAAATATGCGGCAAATTTGCGGTAAAAGAACTTGGGGGACAAAATATCACATCAAGTGATTGAGACAGATGAATCCAAAATAATCGCTGTTAAAAATTACCCGCGGCCAACTACGGCAAAGAAATTAGCTTCATTTTGGGCTTGCATTCATACTATTGGATACCTATAAAAGATTTCACAAAAACTCGAGAACCCTTGTTGAAAAAGAAAAAAGACAAAGTTTAGTTGATCATTGGGAGGTGAATGCAGTTTTACAGTTTTTGAGAAACTTACAGCTGCTTTGATTCTAGTTCCCGTCTTGAAATTTATTGATTAGGAAGAAAAAATTGCAGATAACTACAGACGCTTCTGACTTCGTGGTAGGAGATGTGCCTATGAAACATGGTATGCCGATTGCATATTTTAATAAAACCCTAAATCAAACTCAAAAGAATTTTATACAGCTACAGAGAGAAAAATTCTATGTGTCCTCTTAGACCACTATAAATTCAGCGCGTATTTCGGTAAAGAGCCAGTAATAGTATGTACTGACCATATTGCAATCTCTCGCATGTGTTAGGGAATGAATTTATCACAAGACTGATACGGTGGGTTCTGAGGCTGCAGGAGTGTAATATAAAATTTAAATATCCACCAGGGAAAGACAGTGTCGTGGCCGGCACTGTTCGAAAATTCAAACGAATGATGAGGGAAAAGAGGTGTTCAGTCATATTAGCTTTAAAAGTTTTAGATTCGCGAATGATAGTATCAAAGGAGTTGAATGCAGACCCCGAGATTACAAATATTTATATTTATTTAAAGGATCATAATAATTCTGAACATCTCCATATGACAGGACTCAGCTACGGGGTCGGGAAATTCGGAATTATTAATGACTTGTTTTACAAGAAGGTCACGAATAAAAACACGGAATTAGGACTGGTTATCCCAGCTAATCCAAGACTAAGTATTTCTGCGTGCGTAGGGTTCGTAATAATAGTGTTCATAACGCACACAGATCGGATGATAGGTTGAAAAAATTTATTTTATCCAAGAGAAAAAACTTCAGAGATCTGGATCTTTCCACAGAAATACTCGTACAGGTGTTCGATCGCCAAGTACAATCAATAGTTTAAACTTTAAACTACTAAGATCGTTAAACACAATGCAATGTAGAGCGTATCTATAAGGCGACGCTGTCAATACTCCGAAGTTTCTCTGAACTAACAATTCACAACAACAATTTTAGTTTTCTCCTTATATAGTTTATCTTATATAGTTGGTCTTACATAGTTTTCTCCCGACCGCCGAGAGACTTTTAGTACTTTATGCTTCTTGAAATTACTGAAATGCATATGAGGGCTGGATACGGTTACGGTTGCATATAGGATCAATTACAGTGATTCAGTTACAACGCCCAATACTGTTACACAGAGAGCAGTCCTAAATGTCGCCAAGTTTAAATTAGTTACGTTAAATACTGGAGGCAGCTTAAGTAGGCTGATTTGTATGTAGGGTTAGACTACGTAACTTTGAATTTCACCCCTAAATGGCGCAATTTACTCTGTAGCTCAAGTATTGCCTTCCGTTAAATTTGAAGAGTTAATAAAATTGTTATTTTAACTTCGTAAGACTTTGTTATCTTAATTTTAGACTAGAGTGATAACTCTCTTGTTATTCTAGTAGCATCTGAAGGACATTGATTTAAACTCCTTCACAAGCACAACCTTACAAAGTGTTGAATGCTAAGCGTTCGTTATCATCTGCAGGGCAGGCCAGGGTTGAAAGATTTTGACTGAAGATAAGGTAATTTTGTGTTCGGGGGTGTAAGAGTGCCGATAATTTACTTTATTTCCCATATTCGTTTATTTGGCGTAGAGGATGTTATTCCAGACACAGAGGCTATCCGAATCTCTCTCTGTCTGCCATGATACTTTTCTTGCGTTTGCTTTGTAACTTTTTAAGGCTGTAAGGTTTGAGAATGTGAGATATCTACGAAAAGTCCCCCAGACTTTTCTCAGTTACTTGACAGTATCTCGGCATTCCCTGTTCCATCATTTCAAATATTTTGGTAACTTTGTTGCTGCCTTTGGGATTAAGAATCCTGTTAGTAACAGCCTACATTGCCTCATTAACTAGCAAATTTTCAGCCGCTTCAGCGATAAAGAAATCCCAATTGGCAAGATCAAATAAAAAGTTTTGTGTCTTTGCAACATGAGATAGTTTCTTGGTTTCTTCAGCAAGAGATTAAAATATAGGGAAACGACTGTTCTGTTGCTTTATACACCAAAAAGTAAGGAAAGGCAAGATCAAGTGTGTGAAATGTTCTCATGGACTAGTGGAAGTAGGTTTTTCTCGTCATTATTAAGTTGACAGGGGCAATAATCATCTATCATTCGCTTTATATGTCGTCCACGGGAGTTAGTGTCATTGCTTCGCACAGAGGACTAAAGCCGGCAGCAGCTTTATGAGGTCATCTAACTTTCGCTGGTCTATGTGTTCATTAGGTGAAAATCATCATTAATGCTTTTATATATATATTTGAATTGCTGCAGCCTGAAAGTATGCGTCCCGCGAGATTACATTAGATGGATAAGTAAGTGAGGACAAAATAGCTAAACCTCCGGAGGCTTTATCACTAACGATATATTCCTTCCTTACTTTTGGGTATCTTCGCTGTTTAAGGCAACAACAAAGTGAGCCTAGACAATGAAAAGCCTAGACATGACAATGGATACTGATCAGCTCTTTGATGTTATCAAGGCCATGGTGGAAGCCACAAAAGTTTCAGAAAATAAGGGTGGCCGTCAGGAATATTTATTTTTTTCGTTGCACCTTCTTAGACTTGCAGGGAAGCAAAGTTTTGAAGCATTAATTCCCTCTTCTACTTCAATGCTAGAGCTCCTAGACTTTCCTCATATTTAAATTTGAGAATTTATTTATTTCTCCTGTGAAAGCGGCGTTGGTTCGTTTTATCAGATTTTTCATGTCTAGGCTCTTGAAAGATGTTTTGATGAGCACTTTTAGGGAGACTGAATATTATTGGCAAGCAACTGTTCTTATTGATTTAGTAACATTGGCGTAAGAAGTATTTGGTCATGGCTGAGACTTCTGCACTATCCTTTTGGCTTCAGTATATGAAATGTTCCTTGCCATTTTGATAGCCTATTCGTAAGAATGCTGGATGTTAATTTTAGCAGTTAACGCATAATGGCTCAGTGGCACAAATGTAGCTATCATGGCCTTCCGCAGAGCATTGCGTGCATGCGTGATTACCATGGCAGGACATTTTAGTGTGACCGAAATGATGGCATTGAATGCTGTATCTTAGAACGCGGTTAACCGCGTTCTAAGATACAGCTGAGATTCAGCAAACTTACTGATTAAAAAGTTGAAAGATTCAACGAACTGCCGAAATAGGCACACAGGCCAAAACGCGAGGTTCTTAAATTTCTACCTAGCAACCTTCACGCTCGCGATTCAAGAAGCACACTTACAATCTCGTTTCCCTTCTATTTAAACTCAATTTACTTCTGCTAAAATTTGAATACTCTGCGCGTTCTACTACGATTTACATACTCTGGCATTGGCAATTCTAGGGGAAAGTAAAGGCTTGACAGGAAAGATAGCTTAAACTTAAAAATAAATGTTAGTTAAAATAAATATAAACCCTACAGGCTATAGGCTTATAATTCCACATAGAAGGATGGCTTTCCAATTTGCTACACAGAAAAAATTCTCTCCGAGTCTGATGGGTAAGATTTCGGCATGAATATATATTGAAAGAAAAAGAGTCAAGGTATAATGTGAATGGGTCATTTTCGATTCATTTATTCACGTTGCGAATAAAGCGAGGAATTTCAGATTATTTTATTTGATAGCTAGGCAAAAGTATTAAAACTGACGAACTGTGCTACTGGTAAAGGGTTTTATGGTTTAAGAAACAAGTAATAATCTTAAAAATACAAAAACAAAAATTAAACTTTTGAATTGATTTATGAAGTAACGAATTTTAAACATCAAAACCTCAAATTTGTGATATTTATAATTTTAAGTAATGAAAAGAGTTAAGCTATTTAAATTAATGTCATTTACAAAAAAAAAAAAAAAAAATCTTTTATACTCTCCGGTGATTAGAGTGACTCTTTATTTGAGGTTTCAAAGGCACTGGGATTTTGAAATCTTTAGGTGTTATTACTGAGCAAATCACAGGAACAAAATGGAACGAAATACAAAATAATTATAATTATAAAATAATTATATACAATATATTACAAAAGTGTACTTACTTGTTACTTATCGGCCCTATGAAAGGATTAGCCAAAGCCTGCACTAGAGGTTTCGAGGCAAACAAGAATCCTACCTCAAAATTCTCATTAATTAAATCTTCATGTCGTTTCCGTTTTCTCTTAATCTCAGGGTCTAAGTCATTTAAGGTATCGATATTTGAAGTGACTTCGGCTTGGCTTTCCGTAGTGAATTTCCAAAATACTTCGTTTGGAACTAAAGTAAATCCGGGTATGTCCCACTTAGAAATAGGCTCCTTCGTTGAAATCGGTAAGTGAGGCAGAAAGTGTGGTATATTCTCATCATTCAAAGGAATATCTGGCAGAGGGAAAAGTTTCTTTGGAATATCTTGCGTAGGTGTTGCAATCGTTCCCATGGGTTGATGCCGCAAATGATACAGAAATGATGGAATAATAGGCACTAAAAATAGTTTTGAAAAGTAGTGTTATTCAAAATTAAGATAAATTGGAATTAATACACACTGTGAAAAATAAGTTTGAACAACTTAAACTTCGTTTTTTATTTGGCTTAAATTTAACCTTGTTAACAAAATTGAGCATAAAAAAGGAGAAATTTTAATTAAATTTTAGAATTAAATTCTTCTGCTCTTCTTTTTGAAGATACTTTTTCGTTCAGCATTGCCTTTGGGTGAGTTAATTTGATTAGCAAAATTTCAAAATTTAGTTATGAGTTTAATACCTCAATCTTGAACCCTAGACATAAAATGAATAAAGTAAAATAACTAGAAACTGAAGGGAAGCTGACAAAGACAGAATTACGCATTATCAAATAAAATTAAAAAAAATAAAATTAAAAATAAAAAGTACTCATCAATAAGAATTTTCAGACTGTTGCAATGTTAGCAATTAGTCTGTATTTGCCAGCATCTTGATCAACAATGCACTAAAATCTTCGCTCAGTTAGTCGAAATCTATTTGCTGAATTAACTGATATATTTTAGCTGTTTTTGTAACCAGGTGTCTTGATTATAATTTTTTAAGAATTTCAGCTCTTCTGTTTGTTAATAGTTTGAACAACTCTTATTCTTGAAAATGGCTTATAAATTCTGGGCACGAACCTTTATGTTAAGGATAACTTGAAGGTATTTGTTAAAAACCTCATAGAGTGCCCGTATGGGTAATAAGCATAATGTTTTGTCGCTCCTTTTTCACTGAGAAAAGGTTTAGCAAGAATTTCATGGACAAAATTGTTTTCTAAAAGTCTTATATAAAAATAAACGTAAGAGATTTCGCTTTAGGAAGAATTATTAATAAATCATGCAACAGTGAACTCGTTTTATTGAACTTATTATACAAATATGTCAAGTAATCTATGCCATTTTTAATATTCTAAATGCTCTGTAGTAAGGAAATATTATCGTTACCCACCAAAAAAAATTAAAATTTTAAATTAATGTGTGCTAATCACCTGATGAATTATACATCGTAAAAGTAATATCTCTAGAAACAAACGAACATAAATAAGAATACTGAAAACTTACACTTTAATGGCTAGAAATGTTGTAGGATATTACAACTAAAATGCAAAACAACTAAAATTATATACAATAAAAGTAGGGATCATTATGACAATGAAACAATAGGCATAAAATCGAAATCTTAAAAATTGCTCAATAGAACGATATAAGTTCAAAAATGGTAAAGGGGAATTCAAACGAACTTTAATTTAAATGCATTACAGGATTTTATGGATGAATTAAAATCCTGTTTTATTTAAAAATCTAGTTGTCAAAGCATTTTTGATGAGATAAATTTAAGTACTGATCAACGTTGTTGCGAACTTGATAATCCAAGCGTAATTGATAACATTTGTTTCCAACTGGATTCATTACACTTTCGCTGAAACTGTATAAGACATTAATTTTTCACTCTCTCTCTCTTTCCATTTAATTTTCATTTGCGTTTATTGTTAATGTTTTTTTTTCTGTAACACTTACATAGTAAATTGTTGTCGTGTGATACGGTTTCAGTTTCAAATCTGAATGCACAGAATTAAATACATCTAAATCGCACATTGAATTGAAATTAAATACATTGAAATACAAAACTAAATGCATCCACGTCGTGAAATGAAAGTGAACTGTTGTTTATCTTTAGGGATATTCCACTTACCAACGGAAGTTAGTAGCATGTTATCAAGGAGTATAGCTATAGCCACAATGAACAGAATCAAGCGCCTTGATCCTCTTAGATGTGATAAACATCCGCAACACCCAGGATCTCCAAGTTGTTCCCCTCCCATTGCGTCAGCAAGTTACAAAATCTGCAAATTAAGATAAATTTATTGTTTACAGCGTATGAGAACATAAAAGGAGTTAAATACCTTTTTAGATGTAATTTGTGTTAAACATAAATTGCGAAGTTTACTAATATAGGGTGGGCCATCTAACTTTTCGAATTTCAACCCTGCTAAAAATGCCCCATAGAAGCCAGTAAAACATTTTATGGGTACCCATAACGTTTTATGGGTTTCTATTGTCTTTTACTGGTTTCTGTTTGTCTCTGTGGGTTTTTCTTACTGGTATTAATAGACCCCCATACAACCAACATCAATGTCAGAACTTTCTACTGGTTTGTACTGGTTTATACGTATTTACTTTTATTGGTTTTCTTACTGGTATCACTATAATAATAAATCCTCTGTTAGTTTATATGGGTTTATGCTAATTTTCTATGTGACGTTAATAGATTTCTTGTAAACAATAAAATTAACAGAATGAAAATATCATCTTTTTAAGACCATCAGAGTAACCTGGAAATGCAGGTGGTCGTTTCCCCCATAACACAAGACATTCTCAGGATATCCTATTTAAGTCGCAATGTCCAGGGAAACAGTTAGGATTTCCTGAGGATGTTGATTCTCAGATATAATGAGGACTTCATAAGTCAACAACCTGAGGATGTCCTATTCAAGTCTCAATGTCCCGGGATATATGAAGATCTCCTCAGGATTGAGTTTTCAGATATCCTGAGGACTTCGTAAATCAACATCTTAAGGATGTCCTGTTCAAGTCGTAATGTCCCGGGATATATGAAGATCTGCTGAGGATGTTGTTTCTCTGATATCTTTAGTACTTACTTTTTATGGAAGCTCATATCTGAAAATATTAAAGTAACCTTGTACCACACGCAAGTCATGTTATACGAATCGAAATCTTACTCTATGGATTACCTATTCTGCATATGAAAATTTAATTGTTATGCTTACACTGGTTTTCGTCTTGTATATGTTGGCTGTAAGTATTAAGTAATAATATTTTCAAATTTTTGTTGTTATTTCACAGTGCCTATTGATCAGAGAACTTTCTTACAAATTATAGTCACGTGTTTTCATCCGTTTTCAGTTTGATATTGAAAGTGTGTTTACGATTAAATTCTAATTGCTACATAATATATTTTGTAAACATTATTTTAGATACTTTTCTAATATCTTTGAACACAAATATTATTTACGTTACAGGTTAACTCAGAAAATCTTTTACGAAGATATTTATCCTATGAACAGATGGGCATGATGTGCATCCATGCCTTATATGGCATTCGAACTTGAGCCCTTCTGTACGGCAATCAGTCACTATAATCACTTACCCGTCTCTGAGGCACTAATCAGAAATATCAAGTTATAAAAGTATTCTATTAAATTCATCGATAGTTCTTAGCATAGAAATAACTATACTTTGAAACTGCAAAAAAAAAAAAATACTTTTTGATCTGTTACACTATTATATTAGTAATGAATGATGTTTAGTGCTGTGCAGTAATAAGTAACAATAATTTTTTTTTTTTTTTTTTTTTTTTTTTTTTTAACAAACGAAATTTTAGTTTACAGACGCAGTTAAAAACTAGTCTGTACGAGGTTTAACTTGCTTTAATTTGAATTTATAAACAGAAGAATAATTTTATTGGGCTAAAAAATTCATTGCAGTTTCTTCGTTCATTTTCTGGTAAGTTCTTTAATAATGAGAATTAGTCTTTCAAAGCGACTGAGGTAAGAGGTAACTTATTTTTTTACCTCTCTGTAATAGGAAAATAAGGTTTGAGAATGGGAAGAAGTAACATTAAGTTCTTACTCTCCTCAAACCTCACTTTGCTACCTCTTTAACCATACAAATATTCTGGTCTTTGCTAAACAAAGCGCGAAAAAAATATATTCCAGCGCTCTCCAATCTTATACGTTAATGCCGGCAATGCTACATGACTCCTCATAATTTAACAATACTTATGACTGCTTTATTAATTTATTTGTAACATCCAGAAAATGCAGTAAACACGTTTCTTCAAGGTATATAACACAAAGTTAAATGTTGTTATAAAAACTCAAAATTAAGATAACGGATTAAATAGATGTTCAAATTTTAAATTAAAATGTTCAATTACTTTAAATTAAAAAGACTTATTTTTTTAATTAAACGCGTTCTTTAAACTCAGCAGTTTTATTACTTTATTTTATACTATAAATAACAATTGAAGTTGAAAAATCTTAAAGTCTTTGATCATTCCATTATTTGTCATTGTTCGTAAAACTGCTTCTCAAATTTTTCTTTGCTTTTGAGAAACCGAGCTCCGCTCAAAATGTAACAACCTCTAAGCGCTTTTTCTGTAGCCGATGCCCGAAGAAGATTTCTCTTTTGTTAACGTGGCAGATTTATGTGTCAGACCTTCCCTTCTTTTGTATCCCCCTACAAGGGAAATATCCCTTCACATCCTTCACAACAAAGGACGCAGAACGCCCCCAACGGTTTTAATTGCTCCGTAATAGTGATATCCTTGAAGAACCTCACAAAGTGGAAAGTACACGTACTACTTTCTGATTTCTAGAATTCAGCTATTCTGCTAAACGTTAATAGCCGTCGTTCCAAAATTCTCTTTCAGTTACGAACTGACTTGCTGACGCTTGCAAGCGTTACATTGACAGAGTGTGAAAATTAAGTTTCTAAATGTTTCCTTTATTCTACAAAATGATCAGAACTAAAAAAAAATTTATCTCAGATATCTAAAAGACGGATTTACAGCAGAATAAATCAACGGTATTCTTATCGGATTCGTCAGAAGATGAAGTAGTAATTTAATTATGAAAAAGGACCTGTGTCGAATTTTCGCGCTAGCAAATATTCTTTAAGTTCCATTTCAAACTGTGATTCGAAACATGAATTTTTATGTCTCAAGAAGAACTGACTGATGACGATTACCACAACGATTATCCCATTTTAAGGAATATTCCAAATATATTACTAATAAATATTCCGTTGGACTTCATGCGCCGTGTGTGCTTAGGAGTAGTACGAAAACTGATTACTATTAGGATAGGCGGAGGCACCTTATAAGCACGATTACCACATAAAAATGTTGAACTAATCTTTTAAAAAAAATTAACCAGTTTTTAAAGCTTTATGTATCAATTGAGTTTGCAAGAAAACCAAGGACTCTAAAAGAATTGAAGCACTGGAAAACTACCAAATACCGTCAATTTTTACTATACACTAGCACACTTATTTTTTTTTTAATTTTAACAAAAAGCTATGTGATCATTTTTTACTAATTCATATTTCGAATTAGACTCTTATGGCAAAATACAGAATCAGACGGCAATTGATGAATACGCACAGTCTCTATGAAAAACTCTTCGTAGTAAATTTTGGGCTTTATTATGAAAAACAGATATTGCTCATAATGTTCACGGCCTACTGCATATTTGCGAAGATTTAAAATGTTTGGGCCGTTAGATAATTAAAGTGCATTTAAATTTGAAAGCTATATATCTTCTATAAAAAAATTGATTAGAAAATCTTCCGCTCCATTACAGCAAATAGCAAGAGGAACTCATGAACTGTTTAATCATATTGTAGCCATGAAAATGATTCAATCAACGTAAACCGACTTAAGTTCAGAATTTCAAAATTTACACACATCTGGTCCACTACTTTAAAGGTTATTAAATGCTTAATTTTTTTATTGAATTTTGAATACAAATTAACTGAAGTCAGAACTGAAGTTTGTAGAATAATTTAATTATGAATATATCGAAGAATTCAGTTTTGGGCTATTGAATGGTTAAAAATGATCGAAAGATTTTAATATTTTAAAGCAAAATTTTCTCTTATAATATTTTGTATTAATAATTAATTTCAAGTCTCTTGCTCAGTTTTAGATATATTTCCAAATTATTAAATAAATTGAAATTCAAATTAGAAAATAAATTGTATAAATATTCTTAACATTTCTTATTTTTCCTTAGTAACCACAGATGGAAGACCTGAGACTGTCTGTGGAAAATAAGCAAGTTTCAGGTTATCACAACACCTTCACACACTTTCACTGGAATATAAAGAAGATTTCTGGTTTTATACTGGGATGTAACATTAAGCAGTTCAGAGTATGTATTTAAGACGTTAAAGGGATATTGTAACTAGTATTTCAAATCCTGATAACATCCCATACGCTGTCGGTGGGGCATAGATAGGATGTCCTAAGGATATACTGGGATGTGACATTAAGCACTAGGGAGGATGAGTTTAGGAGGAAATTGGGTTATTACGGGATGTCCTGAGGATGTAGTAAGTAGGACTTTAAATCCTAATAACATCCCATACGCTGTTGATGGGACATAGATAGGATGTTTTTAGGATATAATGGGATGTGTTTAGGAGGTTAGTGGGATAACCCGGGATGTCCTGAGGATGTAGCAAGTAGGAGTTCATATCCTAATAACATCCCGCACGCTGCCAGTGGGACTTAGTTAGGATGTCCTGAGGATATCCCGGGATGTGACATTAAGCACTCGGGAAGAGGTGTTTAGGAGGTTCGCGGGATATTCCGGGATGTCCTGAGAATGTGCAACATCCTCGGGATATCTTAAGGATGTTTTTGTGCTATGTGGGTTTAAGAGAGGGTTTTTACTAAATATGCTTATTTATTTGATTAATTTTTTTTTCCGTAAACAACAACAGTAATCATGTGCACCACGCACGACGAGGTCTCTCTAAGGCGACCAACCGCTAATAAAAATCTTTCTTTGCAAGTGGTCGCCTTAGAGAGGTGTTGCTCAATATCAATATAGACTCATGTTCTCAGAAATACGTTTATCTTTTAGAGGTGGTCGTTTTAGGCAGGTATTCTGTAAGAAATGAATCTCTCTAAGGCGACCAGCCACACTTGCGGAAATTTCTTTGTGAATGGTCGTCTTACAGAGGGGATGTTCAATACCAAATTATACTTATGTTTTCAGAAATACTGGTTTCTTTCAGAGGCGGTCATCTTAGAGAG